ACGGGGCTCAACGGAGTCCCTCCTCCATGCTAGGTACTCAGTTGGGCTCTAGTGGGACTTGAGGTTAACCCCGCGCTGATTGGCTAAAGCTAGCGCAGGCTCTGACACCAGCAAAAAGCACCAAAAGAACCAGTATTTTAAAAATCCTGCAGCATAAGACTAGCAGACACCACTGGAAACAGCGAACAACAGCACAGCTAGATTCAGACGGGATTTGAAACACCGCGCCAAAATGAAAAGACAATTTATGACATATCAGCTTCACCTGGAAGCACTGGGGATTCATCACACTCTAAAAGGACTATAAAAAAACCCAAAGACCACAACAACCGGAGCGGTTACGACCTGAAATAAACAAATGGGTTTGGTGTAATGCGGCAATCGAAACTCATGATGTCGCCGAGTGGTCCTACTCTGCAGTGGAGACACAGCCACAGAGAGGACCGAGGGAGAGGACGGTTCCTGTGGAAGTTTCTCCCCGCTCCTTTTACCAGGAACTCCCTCGGTGGAAACCAGTGGGGGCGGGTCCCAGCTCAAAATTGGCCAAAATGACGTGCGCTGACATGCTTGCAATACCACCCTGGGCCGATGGGGGTGGACCTAGAAGTAGAATTAGCCAATGCTAACATATAGCATTGGCAGACCTCTCAAAAATGTCTTTACAGGATGGACCAAAAGTTGGCTCTTGGCACAAAGCTCCGTTCCACATGTGTGTCAATGCTGAGGGGGGTGGATTTTTTTGGACCACTCTAGTTTACTTGAATTTTTGAAGTCTCTCGTTCAAATGAATGGAGCTGCGCCGGCTGACGCATGCGCAGATGCGTTTTTTCACAATTTTCTTGTGGCCATTTTGGATAGCTCCAGTAGAGCACATTTTTTGGCCCATTAGTTAGAACGGCGGAGATAGGAGTGACTCTGTCCGTTAATATATACAGTCTATGGTGGAAACGCAGCTATTGACTTGTCTCTCCGGGGGAGCAATCTCTTTTTCATTAAGAGCCTCCCTGAGATTTCTCACTTTTATTTTGTGTTGTTCTTTGCTGAAGGGTCTAAGCACAGTGATGATCCAAGACATTTATTAACATTTATTAACAGTGGTCATCCCTCTCTCCTATGTGTTTATATCATTGTTTTTCTGTGTTCAAACTTTCTTCTATGATCCGTTGTGGGTGAATCAACAACTTTATTGTCGATACAGGATGTTTTTGACTCGATCGTAACGTGGCGATTAAAAGGTCAAAAGAAAGATCTGAGGCACTCTGGTAATGTGAAAAAATAAAAAACACCTTCATTAAAAATAGATTGCCCACGCGTTTTGACCGAGCGGTCTTCGTCTTCTAGTCTTCTTTGAAGAGCACCTGTTTTGTCAAGCCTTCTACAACTCCGATCCTCTGCAGCACTCACCTTCCTTGCTTTGAACTTTATAAAGTCCTCTGAGACGACTGCTCTTGAGATTTAAAGCTACACACAAATTCACTGAATAATTCAATCTTTATAAAGGTATTGGATGAGCCACCACATCGAGCTGTAGTCCTGTATAAGATGTGCTACATAAAACCATATCCTTTCTTTCTTCTCCTTTGGCCTGTGAAAGCTACTGTCCCCACCCTCTCTTTCTCTTTTACCCTGCACAAGCTTCACAACCTCACCAGTCTCCGCCTCATGTAATATTTAGTTTGTTGACGTTGAGAAAGAGACAATAAAACCAGGCTTATTCCCACTCATATCAATTCATTACATGACATAAACAGATCTAACCGAGAGAGCAGAAGGATACAGAATTACTTTGACTTTGAAAGAGATGGGGATCGATGTGTTCTATTAAAAGCTGGATTTACGAGGGTCAAACCCAAACAAATCCACAGTTGTTGTCCACAATTTCAGATGACTTTTATGAAGCTTTCAGTGAATAATACAGCAGCACTGTTTGCCAGATCTGCCTGTGACGAAAGGCCCACTGTCAGGTCACTTTTGAATAAGATAAGATACAATTTATTGATCTCACAATGGAGACATTTTGAAAGTCGCATTCGGCATGAATAGAATCACTCAGGTTGTGCAAAAGACAGTTAAAAAGGTTAAAGATATTGTCTCTTTTGTGCAAGATATAATATGTGTAGTAGTAGGCCCTGTGTGCCCGGTGGCAGCCTATTGCGTGCAGCCTCCCTTTAAAAGGAGGATGGCCCACCTGCACCACCTCTTTCACCGCTGTTTCTGGGTCAGGGGGGTGGCAGTCAGAGCTGCACCCAGTTCACATAGCACCAGGCCCTCACTGATCCTGAGCCTTTGGGCAAAGTGGGGTTAAGTGTCTTGCCCAAGGACACAACGACAGCAGACATCAGTGGGAGTCATTAAGTAGGTCGCATGGTGGGCTTGAACCCATGACCTTCAGGCCCAAAGACCAATGCTCTACCAACTGAGCCACTGGTTATGGGACCAGTCCAGTTTATTAGGCCCGAGCCCCGAACGAGGAAAGGGCCTATTGTTTTTGCTCGAGAGATGTCAAATTCTGCACTTTGAGCCTTAATTTGACCCCCTGAACATGCATGAAAAGTTGTAAAATTTTGCCCAAACATTAGACCTGGTGAAAATTTTTATATTTGTGTTTATTTTTATGGGACTCAAAAAATGCCAGAACAGCGCCACCTACAACAGCCAATGGGAGTTTCAGAGTTAAAGGTCAAGTTTGTCGTAGAGCCATGAAATTCGGTACACATGTTCCTCAAGTCAAGATACGACCGAAATGTTTTCATGGCTCCGCCCTCTGACAAACAGGAGGCCCATAAATTTCACTGCAAAATGGAAAAATGATCCGCAATCATTTTCATACACGTCGGTTGGAAAGCGACTCCTCCTCGGCCGTTTCACCGATTGGCCTCCATATCACTCCACATTGTCTAAACACATGTACCATCAAAATGACCTCAGGGATTTTTGATCAGTGAAACGTTGTTTGAGCAGCGGAGCGGCAAAATGTGAGTGTTTATTTGCCGTTTTTCACAACATTCTATTTGGTCCCGTTTACACATACAAATTCCGATTTGCACAAAACTTGAATCCATGGTTCAACTCTAGGGTTTAGGTCATTTGAAAGGGAAATAATTGAACTTGGCTCATTTACGCCCCCTACAGACTATTTCAGAGTTTTTAGTATGAAAAACTCTGAAAACTTTGACTCCATCTGTAGGGGCACTAATGAGCAAAGTTCTTTTATTTCACTTTCAATTGACCTAGACCCTGGAGTTAAACAATGTATAAAAGTTTTGTGCAAATCAGACTTTGTATGTGCAAACGGTAGCAAATTTAATATTGTCCAAAACGGACATGGTGCAGGGCGGCTTGGTGCAGGGAGGCGTGGTGCGGCACGATGTGGCGTGGTGCGGTGCGACGAGGGTCGTTCGACGCCTCTTGCGGCTTTAATTATTATTGTGAACACCCAGGTACTTGAAGCTGTCCACCAGCTCAATGTCCTCCCCCTGGATGTTCAGCGGCGTGTGAGATTTTTTCTTTTTCCTGAAGTCGATGACCATCTCCTTGGTCTTACTGGTATTCAAGCACAAGTGGTTGCGCTCACACCAGTCGACAAAGTCCATGATAACCGACCGGTACTCCACTTCGTTCCACTCAGACACACAGCCCAGGATGGCGGAGTCGTCAGATTGTGTTGTATGTGAAGTCCAAAGTGTAGATGGTGAAGAGAAACGGTGAGAGGACAGTGCCCTGAGGGGCCCCAGTGCTGCGGACTACCACCTCAGACTCACAGCTGTGTGGCCACACAAACTGTGGTCGGTCTGAGAGGTAGTTGATGGTCTATGCAGTGAGGTTACTGTCCACTTCATGTCCTCCATTTTCCTCCCGCAGCAGTGCCGGTCTGATGGTGTTGAAAGGAGAACAGAAGAAGATTTGTTTGTCCTCAGTCTCTCTCTCTCTCATCCTTACACTGAGTACTCTCTCCACTATACATTTAAACAGAGCCTCTCAGTTCCTGTTTGTGCTTTAACCCTCCTCATCCCCACCCTCGCCTCTTCAGTGGAGGATCCACATTTTGTGGCCATAGCTGCATGTAGGGCTGGGCGATATGGCAAAAAAGTAAAATCTCGATTTTATTTCCTGCTTTGGACGATTTCGATTTTAAATCGATTTTCATTAAAGTCACTCAAGACAAACTTTGCCCTTAAAATATTGTATCTTCCCGCTCAATATTCAAGTTTCAAAACTATTTTTTATTTGTTTCCCCCAATACATATTATAAAAGTCTTGTACAGACTGTGCTGATGTTGCAAGTATAATGCTGCTGGAACTCTCACAATATCCTTCATTCGATTTCACGATTTTCACATTTTTCACGAATAAAATTTTTTCAATAGCCGATTTATTGCCAAAATTTCGATTTATTGCCCAGCCCTAGCTGCATGTGAAAGCCAGATCCTGTCAGACCTCTGAAGCTGTGATGGGAGACCTTTGGAAACACCAGTTGCCACAGTGGGGCTATAAAGAGAAAAATTGGTTATTGTCTTCGGCAAGACACTTCACCCACATTAGAATGAGTCGGGAGTGTGTGTGAATGGTTGGTGGTGGTGGGAGGGGCCGATGGCACATACTTCTTCATTTATATACCGCCTTTCACAGACCAGAGTCACAAAGCACTTTACAATTGTTTTTAGCATTTGTCTTTCACTCCACACACAGATGGGAGCAGGGTGACCATACAGGAGACCTCTTGTACATGTTTTTAGTGATAGGGGAAACCAGAGCACCTGGAGGAAACCTACACAGACACGGAGAGAACATGCAAACTCCACACAGAGAGGTCCAGGAGGTGGAATCAAACTCAAGGTTGTCTTTCTGTAATATTTAACAAAAATATAAATTTGTAACCGCGGCCGATTGGATAAAAGTATGAATTGGGAATGAGTCATTTGATATATTTGTGCAGTTTTTATGGCAGGATTATAATCATCTCTGACTAAACGCGGAATCAGTGGAAGAGGGAGGAGGCTTTAATTACACGCTGTTTGCTCAAATCGTCCCAGCGGCAGCTGCGGCTCAGTCTGGGTCACATTCACCAACCGATAAAACAACAACCAGAGGATTTCTATTCACAAGAAAAAGCACAGCCAAACTCAAAATACAGGATCCTATTCTGCTAGTCCCACATTTTCCAAAACAGAGATAACATCCATCGTGACATTTCAGAGAAGTAGAAAATGATGGAGACGAGCGAGAACTAAATATTTGCTTTCAGGTTCAATGTTTTAGAATGCTGTGTAATTTCTGCTGTAGAAAATATTTGGATGTCTGTAATAGAGAACTGATGAGTCCAAAAAACCAACCTGAAGTGGAAAATTTCTGCTCAATTAAAATCAATGTAATTTGCCAATGTAGATCCGATAATCAAACAGTTCAAACACAGGAAGGGCAATGATAGAAAACACAATGAGCCGAATGTTGACAACAACATCTAGACCCTCCTGCATCATCAAGTAACAACTCTAAAACCCCAGTGGGAGAAAAGTGAGAAACCTCAGGGAGACCATTAGCCTGGTTGAACCACACCTTAGTACAAATGACATTTCATACTAAGGTCTGGATTTGCTCCATTGAGCTTCGTTTACAGGTGGGAGGGGTTAACTCCTTTTGCAGATTGAAATGATTGGATCTGAGTTTACCGTGACGTATGTAATGCGCCCGAGTGTGTTGTTAGCATTTAGCATTTAGCCTAGCCATCTCCTTTGCTGCTAACGGAGCCCGTGGGGAGTAGCGCCACAACCTTGATCAGCGATTACATTTGCTAAACATTCCTCCTGCTCCTGCTTCAATTTCTTGATAGAACCAGGACAAATTACTTTACTATCGCATTCTTCGCCATTACCAAACTACAACTTGCCCGTTTGGCGCAAACTCTTGACGTCACCGGCACCAACCTACAACACCTGCCTTCCGCGCTCTCTTAGTAGCCGGTTGAAACACGACCGATTGTAATCGCTAACACAGGGACCAGACCCAGACGTTACATGCAGTGAAATGATGATTGAGCGGAGTGTACGGATGGCTAAGGCCCGGCTAGGAGACCATGGATCTATAATAATATCTGGATAGGGTATTTTTAGCTTTTAGCTGTCCCACCCACAGGCACAGGGGGAGCCCATGGTACTGCAGACTAAATTCACACGGGTTACCCAGAAAACAGTCCCATTGATCTCAATATAAACCAGAGGTTAAAGCAAATAAAGATTTGACTGAACATTTGCTAATGGAAATTTATCACATGTTGAAATCACAGTCATATGTAGGACCAAGTTATAATTTCATTTACAATATATTATTGTTTAATGAATTACAGATCAAATGAATTCTTCAAAGATATACATTTAAACTGGTGTATTTTGATGTGAAATTACAACAAGTGGATCAAGCAACTTTTGACAGAATATGGAGCGTCAACACTTTGGCTCTGTCCTCTTCAAAATATCGCAAAAAGACATTTAAAATTCTGTCCACATTTGTTCGTGGACTCGTCAATGTTTAAGAAAAAGGTTTCCCTATCAAGTTGGTGGCTAGTGCACAGTGCACTTTGATCAACCGCAAATGATTTAATTAAATTAAATCTGATATTCTGAACGACAGGTTATTTTCTGGGATAAATCCACAGACTCTTAGTTTTTTTTTTTAATTCAACAAACTGCTGTTTTTCTTCCCTCTCTAGCTCCGCTTCGCTCACCAGCGCTGATTGGGCAAAGCGCGGCCGAACTTGTCAGTGTTCAAATGGTCAAATATGGCCGATTTCCGCTAATCTTTCAGTTCCCATGGCTGTCCCATGCGCTACTGAGCACAAGCCATGGGTGTGAACAGGACGTCATCTTGAATCACCGGGGCTTGGGGGAGACCCAAGGCAAGGCAAGTTTATTTGTATAGCACAATTCATAAAGCATTGAGGTCCTGTCCCAAATTGCGCACTTCAAAAGCGCAATAAGCTCTGAAGTGTTGGAAGACGTCATCAATCAGACGTAACTGATGACGTCGAGTTTATGTTTATGTCTCTAGATTTCTAGACTTTTAATTTGTTCAAAATAAATTCACATACATGGTTAAAATGTGATTCATACAATGAATTGCATGAAGCCATTGGCCAGAAGTCGTCAGTCAGGCCGTGTTAGCGCCAGGGCGAAAGAGTGCAGCGGTCTACCCCAGCCAGAGTGAGGATGCAGGGGGAGGGGAGGAGAAGGAAGTGGAGGAGGAGGAATCAGTGCCAGCAACAGGAGAAGAAGGGACAAGCTCATTAATAGTAACAAAAAGATCACGGAAAAGGAAGAGGAAAGGAAGTGAAAGTGCAGCAGAGACTTTGGGATTGGTGTGAAAACATTGAAGAGGCAGAAGGAAGAAGATGAGCAGGATGCAGCAGGTTCAGGGGCAAATGGGTAAAATGTTAGACTTGTTTGGGAAAATAGTGGACCACCTAACTAAATAACATGACCATGACTACTTTCTGCCTAAAATATTACATTTATAAAGGCCCTGGCAAAACCATACATCGGGATGAAGGGGATTGAGGCGACAGTGGCTCAGTTAGTAGAGCATTGGCCTTTGAGCGTGAAGGTTGTGGGCTCGAGCCCACCACGAGACCTTCTCCACCGACTCCCACTGATGTCTGCTGTCGCTGTCTCCTTGGCAAGACACTTAACCTCTGGGAACACCAGCCACAGTGGGGCGGCTGTGGCTGTAAAGTGTCAAACTGTCCTTAGGCAAGACACTTCACCCCCATTGCCTAGAATGAGTCTGGTGTGTGTGTGTGTGTGTGCGCGTGTGCGTGTGCGTGTGCGTGTGCGTGTGTGTGTGTGTGTGTGTGTGTGTGTGTGTGTGAATACTTACGGCACTCTGGCATCATGCACTTCTCCCTCTCCAACAGTTCAGTGTTACATATGGAGCCATCTGCAGGATTCAATGTGACAAAACGCTCCTTGCGCCTCATCCCATGACCACAGGTAGCACTGCAAGGTTCCCATTCAGCCCACTCAGTCACAAGGCAACTGCTCGGAGCTAATAAAACAGAGACATAATAAAGGCGGTATATTTCAAGTGCAACAATAAACTACATATGGATACATCTAAACTCACAGCATTCCTCGTTGACGACGCAGTTTTCGTTCTCCTCGGTGGGAAGGATGCAGACTGAGCCATCGTCTGGGAACTGTTTCACATAACGTTCCCGGGACCGAATACCCATCCCACATGACAGGCTGCATGGAGACCAGGTAATCCATTCTGACATCATGCAGGTGGAGGCATCTATGCACCAATCAAACAATCAAAAGTTGTTCTCAGCTCACAATGTCTCAGTCCTTTTAATAACAAGTCAAACAATGTCATAGTGTAATACGAAATGAGAAGTATGGTAATATTGGGTGCCCTTTTATTGTTATGCACCATTTAAATTTATTTAAGCAATTTACAGGTTGGTGCAACAGTAACAGTATTGAGATAAGTTAGGTAACCTTCATCACTGCATCCAGGGCCCATACAAGGCTCAAAGTCCTGTGTGTGTGGGCAGGGCACGCTGTGGTCCAGCTGGGCCTTCAACATTCTCTGTCTCATCCTCTTTCCCTTCTCACATGTGGCTGAACTACATGCCGACCATGGAGACCAGTTTGAGTAGATACACGTTTCCGGGGTATCATCTAACAAAGAAAATGAGACAAATGTACAATCAACAGGTCGCAGACAAAGATTACCATCAATTCAATAAATCCTGACCTTCTTCTTTTTCTTCCTGAGCAATATCTGCAACAATGTCATCCACATTGTCTGGTACAATGTTACATTGTTCGCCCTATGGACACAAATGTTAGATGCTAGATGCAAATACATAATAGGTGGCCTTTCTATTTGAGACTTCAACAAACTACTACTGGGTGGTAGTTTAAAAAAATATGTACAATAGTTCTGGCATGTGCCTCCTGTACTGGCGACCCCGCTCCCATCTCTGTGTGGAGTGAGAGGACAAGTGCCCAAAAAATAACAATTGTAAACCGCTTTGAGACTCAGATCTGCAGTGAAAAGGCGGTATATAAATAAAGATTACTTACTTACTACTTACTACATGTTGATAATATGCACTTCTACATTACTTCCACTAGAGGGCACCCCAGACCTGAGGTCTTATCTTATCGGCTTTCTGTGTACATACATATTACTTATGTACGTGTTTCCATCATACACTCTCTGCTGCACAGCAGTCGTAGGAGTAGCAATAGTAATAGTTTATATATATATATATATATATATATATATATATATATATATATATATATACATATATATATATATATATATATATATATGAATATAGATGTGTGTATGATATGTATGTATATCATGTAAAATGTATAAATGACCTTTCTGGCAATTCTTTCCACTGCCACTCTCGCCACAGGAGTGATAGCGCCTCCCTCGGGATCATAGAAAGGGCTTTGTGGATGATCGAGGCTGGTTAGAGGACGAATCTTGTCCTGGGGCATTGTAGGATTGTTGGGAGACTAAAAAAACACATGAAGAGTGAAACTTTGGGATTACCAAAATAACACAGCCAGGCAAAAAGGCAAAGTGACTCAACAAAGTTGAACATTGGCTAAAAGTCAGAGAAAGGACAGGTCAAACAGTATACTGCTGAGTTAGAGGGCTCTGGTTTATAGAGTAGAGGCTTCATTGTCAACAGTAAAGGTCTGCCTGCATGGGGCTGATGGAACAGCCTCCATGTCTCATGTCCACTCACACCACTGGGACGTGGGCTTAGTCAAACTCAGGGAGAGACACAACTCTGATGAATAGAGAAATGCAGAGTTCATTTCTTTATTCATCAGCGATCTGAAACACAAGAAAAATGTCTTTCAATGATAACAAAGAATGTAATTTGTATATAACATTCAATCATCAATATGTAATGGATGCATTTTTACTTGAATATAAAGAGTACTTGGATGCCTCTAAACAAGAGAACATTCTGTTTCTACCTCGAATAAAAGTTATTCCACACTTAATGGCAAAGTGGCACGCTCTCTGCCAAAAGTGGTAACTTTGTTTGTTACTTACGTGGCAATAAAAAGGATTCTGATTCTGATTCTGATTCTGATTCTGATCATCTATCGGTCAGTGTGATTCAAAATTGTTATGTTGAAAAGTGATTCCACACTGCCCGTGTTGATCGATGCACTCGGGGCACTGACCCCCAAACTGGAGGAGTGGTAGATCCCAGGAACAACCTCGGAAATGTGCAGTGCTTGGAACAGTGAAGATACTGCACAGAATCCTGAAACTCCCTCATTCTCTGGTCGAGGACACAAGCTAGAGAGGGATAACCACCCTCAGAGTTTTTATAAACTAGGCTCACCTCATATGAGACCCCACTGTCAGTGCCTGCATCCCATGGAATCAGATCCTGAACCATCTTCTGCACCCAACCACAGTCTTTGGTGCACAAGTCCTCTGCAGACAGACCTACGTTCCAGTCTGGAGAGGGTCCCAGCATGGTCAGAAAGGACATGAGGTGTCTGGTCCGATCCACTGAGAACTCAGCGGAGGGCGCGGCTCGACTGAAAGAACGAAGGGTCAAACTGAGCAGTTGTCTTCAAACCTAGTTGGCTTCCTGTTTATTTACTACAATGTTTATTGCTAATTAGTTATTAAAAGAAAAATATACATAATGCTTGAAGGTTGCTACATACATTCAACATGTCTCAAAACATGTTGAATGCACTTCTCTGAATGTCATCTCAAACACCAAATCCAATAAATAAATACTACAAAATCCAAATAATGGCACAACATTTCAAACAAACTGCACATATGCATGCAGGCTATTTCACATTAAGGTATGATTTTTTATAAACTGTGTAAACTGATGCTGGTGCGTGTGACGTACTGTATTTGTGGAACACATTTGTCAATAGCACTGATCTAGACAAATGCGCTGTAAATTCAGGATGTCCGAAAAAATACCATATTTTTCTTTTCAAACATGTCTCACTTAAGAAAACACTTCTGGTAACTTGAAAAGGTCAACTTTATCAAAGAGATAACTGCCTGAGAGAGAAAATGATACAATTCCACACAGCACAATAAAGGGGGCACTTACACGTTAAGGGGTTGCCAGGCAGGCCATTGTGCTTTCATTTTGATCACAGTCAGGACGTCATCGCCCTGAAGCAGACAGAACAGACGTGTGAGCAGCTTTGTAACATAAGACAGCAACAAGAACATCAATTTGAATGGTTAGGACCAATCAATAAGCTATTTACACTTTAATCATATGGTTGACTGAGACTACATTTTAAATACTGTATACAGGATTGAGGTGAAACTAGACCTGAGATATTTGAGAAAGGACCTCTCCGACGTCAAAAACTATGACCATCCGAAAAAAGGGAAAATCAAACATACTTTTAAAAACAGGCAGAAAATTAGGCTGTGTCAGAAATGTAATATCTATCATGTGACAGCTTGGGGTGCTCAACTATGCACAATGTAATTAAGTTCTCATAATCAATGTATCAAATTTCAGTAAGTTGATTGATAAATGCGGGGAAAAATGTTGATATGTATTTTTCCCAGATTGCCCATTCCCACGTTCCCTATTCCCACTAATAGGGAACGTGAGCTGGGATTAGACCGCCGTGAGACAGGTTAGTTTTACCCAACTGATGATGTGTTGCTGCAATAGTTCGACTTAGACATTTAGAAGCATGTTTTCACACATTCCTGATTGCCAGATTAGATCTGAAAATTAAACTGATGTTTTTATATAAAAGGCAATTGTCATCACTGAAAAATAATAATGTGTGCATGGTATGTATTTTTAGGGGTATCAAAGAATCTTTAGAAAAACAATTGGGGGCAAGCATATCAAAAATCTGTTATTATCAATATCGTCCACCTCATTTATTGTAACTGCCACTTTGACAAGAAACACACACTTCTTATTAGACAGCATGCTACCCTTGTTATTAAAAAGTTCAGCCTGGTTTTCATCTCACCAAAAATCTGCAGAGAGAAAAAAAGACTTTGAAATGACACATGCAGACCTGAGCCGTCGCATGCCCGCTTCAATCTGGTTCTCCCGCTAATGATAGGGAAGTCCAAAAGTGAACCCTATTAGCAGCAGAACATGGCCCACTACAAGTGTCCTACTCAACCTGTCATTTCTGCACTTCCACTTTAATACTGAGCACAGGCACAGAGATTATAGCAGACAGGCTCGAAACTGACTTGTATCATCAATGATGCTGACAATGCAAAAGTAAAAACTACACTTTCGTATTTTGCACTGATTTTGGAAGTATCAGTGATTGATTTCACCTACTGTATATTTCACTTGTATTTAATAAACAATTATATGAAATCCTTTTGATATGTGACCTATTTTAAAGCCACCCTGTGTAATTTTTTCAATTGCTCCATATGAAAAAACATGTTAACTAATAACGAATGCGACCTTTTAAAGAATATTTACCTCCACCATGTTTTTTGAATTGTTTTCATAGGCTTAGAATTTAACTTTAAAGTGTCCATGAGAGAGGAGTTGTTATTATAGTAGATCCATGAGCGAGTGCTCTCTGTGTCAATGCGCCATCTTGAAAAACAGTGTTGGATAAGGGACAAAAAGGATGCGAGAATCGCGTTTTTGTTTCACATGAGCTTCTGATTTGGTTGCTTTCACCGTGACTTCACAAGTTGGAAGAAGGAACCATGGAGGACCACAGTTATATCAAAGAACCATGGAGGACCACAGTTATATAAAAGAACCATGGAGGACCACAGTAAGAACCATGGAGGACCACAGTTATATAAAAGAACCATGGAGGACCACAGTTATTTAAAAGAACCATGGAGGACCACAGTTATATAAAAGAACCATGAAGGACCACAGTTATATAAAAGAACCATGGAGGACCACAGTTATATAAAAGAACCATGGAGGACCACAGTTATTTAAAAGAACCATGGAGGACCACAGTTATATAGAAGAACCATGGAGGACCACAGTTATATAAAAGAACATGAAGGACCACAGTTATATAAAAAACCATGGAGGACCAGTTATATAAAAGAACCATGGAGGACCACAGTTATATAAAAGAACGATTCAAACAACAATCTTTTAGAAATATAATTATGCAAAGGTGGATGTTGTAGTAGTTGTGGGTGATGTCAAGAGTTTGCATCGAACGGGAAGGTTGTGGTTTGGCAATGGAGAAAAATGCGATAGTAAAGTAATCCAGTCTGGTTCTATCAAGAAATTGAAGCCGGAGCAAGAGGAATGCTTAGCAAATGTAATCGCTGGAAAAATTGTGGCGCTACTCCCCACGGGCTCCGTTAGCGGCAAAGGAGATGGCTAGGCTAAATGCTAAATGCTAACAACAGACTCGACACTTGTAAGTGTATCTTGTGTTTTTATGTTGATTTAATAATAATAAAAAAAAACAAAAAAAAAAACAACAGACTTGGGCGCATTACATACGTCACGGTAAACTCAGATCCAATCACTTCAATCTGCAAAAGGAGTTAACCCCTCCCACCTGTAAACGGAGCTCAATGGAGCACCTCCAGACCTTAGTACGAAATATAATTTGTACTATGGTGTGGTACGACCAGGCTACTGTGCAGCGGGTGCAGAGTCTGAACGTGGTCATGTTTTCATGTCGCCTCCACACGACTGTGTCAAGTGCCCTAGAATATGAAGAGATCCTGTCATTTATCAAACTAAAGTATTCTTTCCTTGGCAGTCGGGTGAATGACTGAGAGTTGAGGCTCAAAGGCTTCTGTAGTACCTTGGACTGCAATATAAGATCTCAACGCTAGCTGTTAGGCAAGTGTCCACAATCACTGTCAGTCCATGGTCTGTGCATATGTCGTTATAACACTTAACAAGTTTGTACATTTTTATTTTATTCTGCACATGGTTGGAATAGCCAACTTATAGCCACAGCTGCCCTGAGCAGACTGGTGAACGCGAGGCTGCCCACACTCCAGCCACCATCACTGAAGTCCTTATCTGAGGCCCCGCAATAATTAACTTTGATACAGCATTAAGTTAATATTCCCATTCACTTATTAGATGGATGGACTTATTATTCATTAATATTGCTAGTGCTTCATACGCAGGATCCATTAGTAGTTTTCTAGTTTTTAGCATTTGTTTTTTATTTGATGCAGTTCCGCTGACTGACTGTGGAAGGCAGCAATACGCCTAGCAGTGTCTAGCCTGCTGGAAATGTACAGGAAGAAGGAGATGGTCTGAGACGGTGTTAGCAGCAGAGGGCCACATACAACGACACTGTGGGCCTTTCTTTGTGATGCAAATACTTTGTATGATTGGCTTGTACTTGTACTACTTTTCTACACCACTATTAAGCGATAAATGCAGTCTAAGGCTATATCCACACAAAGACAAAACGCTTATAATTTCAGAAACTTTTTCTGTAAACACGGAGTTAGCTCAGTAAATGTGTGCGTCCATATGAATGTAGTCAATACGCCTGAAAACGCTGTGAAACTATGCCAGACCTGTTGGTGGCGCTGTGACGCAATGACGGGATCAAGCCCAAACTTCCGTGGGCATGCGCGGAATTTTGTAAACAGACAACATGGCGAGTGGGCGAGCTGGTACTACATTAGTATGGACGGACGATGAGGTTGAACTGTTGCTTCGGGTCACACTGGATTACAAAACCAACAAGCTACATTGTTGTTGTCATTATTTTCTGAGTGCGGCGCATGCGTGCTTTAACAAGAGGCGGGGCGATGACGCAAGCCTCTCAGATACATTGCGGAGAGGCAGTAACCACGGAGCGGCATATACGGAGTTTTGAAATCTTTCCACTCTGGGACCTAGTTTCAAAAATGTTCGTTTACACCCCCCCAAAACGCCGGCCTCGTATGGACGATACACTGGATTGATAAAGTATTTTTGCGTTTAGGCCTGAGCTTGACTTCGTGTGGACAGGGCCTAAAAGAGTCTTTGCTTAGCTATCATGCAAACCGCTGCGGAAGCTAAAATCAATAGGAAGTAATGTGCATATAAGTTAAGGTTAAGAAAGGGAAACGAGCATATTGTAGCACATTAGACCACGCATTTGTCCTACAATGAGTAAGCAGCACATTTCCAATCGAACAAAGTATTGCATTGCTAGTAGTAAATGTGTTCCGTGTTTGCATGGCCAGAGAAGTGTGCTGGTGCATTTCTCTGCAGGTGATGTATCAGTTGTGCTTGATTACATGCCTGCTCGTGCATTAATGGCCTTACATGGGCCACACCTGTACACATGTGTGGATCTAATCATTCACTGTGCATGCAACATTAACATTAAAGGACAACTCACCCTCAAATCCACTTTTTTTTTGCTGATAAACGATTTAAATGAGTGTCCAATAGTGTTGTCTACATATCCTGGTCATAATCTTGTCACTTTGGTGCAAATTAGTTGAAAGTTAAACTTTCTGCCTAAAACCGTCTGTGAGGCGCCATCTGCTGGCAACCTGTATTACTACATTTGAATTTTGAATCTGGCGCCAACACTGGCACAGAAGTTTGACCTGACTCTGCAAGTTGGACCTGACGTCAGCAGCCCCCCGCCCAGAGCAATGTAAACGGCCCAGTCTCGTTCACGCCCCCTTCAGTCCTCCAGGCTACGCCCATTTAGAGGAAGATTTGAACAGGAAATGTGAGTGACGTAAGCTCCGAGGAGCGGGGGTGAGAACCACTTTAAGGGCTTGTTAGAAATTCACTGTGCGTTTTTTATTTTTATTTTAAAACACTCAAAATGATTTTGAGTATTTTGTCAAAAGACTTGACAAAAGGACCTCATAGGAGGAAAACAATAGACCAGATGCCCTTCACGTACTCACATTTTACGACGCACAGAAAAAACCCATGTTTCTTGACACTGGCAACATGGCTTCACTTCTTTTCGAAGGTAAGCAGTAGCTTGCTACTTGTAGACACAGCCAATCACTGCGCCAAGATGAGTGGATCATGTGTCATCCTATATTTGGTGAGGACATTTTAGTCCTCCCAAAATATTGGTGGAGACATGTCCCCATGGTTCCCACACAAACCCATGCCCTTGGATATGAAGAGTATACATCAGTGAAGCGACGAATGAACACACAACCGC